CTGTGGCGTATGAAAAGCGGGATCCGCTAAATTTAAATCTTTTATATGAGGCCAACCAGTGTACGGTAACTGCATACTCGGCATTTGTGAAATTAATTTGTTTAAAATTAAAAGATTTACCGGAACTAAGGGTTCTAATCTACCCTTAGGCGCGATATTACAATTTATAAATCCTTTGCTACGCGCCGCTTCACTATTGCCTATACCGAACACAGAAACATTAACATGCCCGCGCATCAAACCCAGACGCTGCGCACACGCCTCAGTGATAAAACTCGCCTGACTTCCAGTGTCTATAATGCAGCGAACGGTCGCTATTTTCACCGCACCTATGCATACGTCGACGAGTGCCGTAGACAATAGCACCGTAGTCGTACGAGCGAACGCGGCATTGGACGCGCAACAATTATGAATCACGTTCTCACCGGCGGGAGCAACGCACTGCGGATCATTCGTGGTAGCGGTTACAGGCATCTCAGCTACCACTGAAGGTGGGAGCGAGACTGCATTATTTGCAGATATTTTATTATCAGTAATCGGTAACGATTTACTTGAAAAGTGAATTAATGTGTGATGTCGCTTATGACATGTACGACAGACAAAACTAGAATTGCATTGATTCACATCATGCCCAAAATGCAAACAATTATAACAAATATTTTTCTTACGAACTAAAGCAAATCTATCTTGAGGGGATAAGTTTAAAAATTGCGAACACTTTGTCAACGTATGTTGAGCATTACAACATAAGCAATTTCTATTCTTATGATTCTGTTCATAAGACCGATTATCATTCGACGGTTTTGAAACTGGTGTGACATTAGCAGCAAACGAACGAAGTTGCCGTTGCTGCAACTGGTTTTCTACGCGATTATTGTGACGGTGGCGCATATTCACATTAGCCACACTAGATAATTTATTGTACTGTCCGCTGTTAGTCGAACAGATAATTTCCTCAGCTGATATTTCGCGTTCTAAGAAACAAATCAATGTGCTAACGTTTGGAATGTCGGACGAATTAGTTAAAGAACGTTCATAAGATTTACGAGTGTTAATAGGTATTTTTCGTAACAAAATGCTAAGTAACAAAAAACTCCATTCGCTTACGGGAAAGTGCATAATCTCCAGTGCTTTAATGTTTTCTTGGTAGACATTTAATAAATTACGTATACTTTGAGACGATCTATCGGAACACTGTTCGATGTCGAGAATTCTGTCAAGGTGTTTTGAGGCAATAACTCTTTTATTCTCATAACGAGATATCAAAATATTTAAAGCTACCGAATAGTTCTCGTCTGTAATAGGGATAGATTTAATTAAATTGTGGGGTTCGTTGTGTACCGTAAGTAATAAGTAACGGAATTTTTCCGCCTCTGTGTAGGCACTGTTTAAATGGACTAATGATCGAAACAAATCGAAATAGGAAGGCCAATCCGTAGGATCGCCGCTGAAATTAGGCAAAGGCAAAGTTGGTAAATTCTTATTATAATTAGATGACTGAACTAAAGGCGTTATTAACGGACGACTCATACGTCGTTGCTCTTCATCCACCCTCTTTAAATTATTTAAATTAGTGATAATAGCGTAGTACAAATCATTGAAATCGTTGCGTATCTTAATCTGTTCCTCTTTGTTAAAAGACCTTAACTTGATTAACGTTTTTTCAATTTTAGTTTGAACTTTATTGAATTTACGTTGGTGAGAATTTAAATCAGTAGTTCGCGAGCGAAACTGTTGGACATCTGTCGCTGCGAACTGTAATGTTCGTTTTAACTCATCGAGAATAAGATCTCGTTCGAATAAATCTTGTTCACACGGCGATTCATCATCAGACATTTTGCGTAACAAAGATGACTGCTTCGAATTCGCTGCGTCACTATCCATGATAATAAGTACGTAATACTGTTTAGAGACAACACAACTGAAAGATAGCAATCCGGTTCGAACGGATCAAAAGAAATTATGTACGATATTAAGCAGGGGTTGGCGACTCACCGCAAGCGATCCTTTACCGCCACGGGTTCCGAGGGCTGGGTTCTGGAACGGGGTGCGTCGACGCGGTTACCAGCGAATATATCATACACGATATATAGTCCATAGGCACTGATCCACCGTTCTTCCGAAATGTCCTTATTCTCGATAACGAACAATTCACCAAGCTCAATCAAAATTAGGTGCGCGCAGTTAACAATTTGAAATCACAGTAGTAAACCGTCACCCAAGGATTAAGGGTGGGGATTTGGAACGAAGACAGCTAATCGCCTTGCCCATAGACAATAAAAATTTTACCCACAGTTGTGTTGTCTTTGTATAGCCAATTATCAATGATCTGTTTCGTTACGGAACAGCTTTGATAAAAATATGCAAGTTTTTTTAATGGTTGATATAGTGGAAGTAGCTCGATTAGTATTGGCGATGTGGTTTTATTATCTAGAGCTACTCCGTGCTCGAAAGGTGTTACTTAAAATCATATTCATATAATATTAAATCTCACTGGTCTCTCTATCTCACTTGATCTCACTGGTACTGAGCTGAAGTATCGCCTATTAGAAAACTTTTGTACATTCTTATCATAAGCTCTTGTATTATTATTATAATGTTATAATATATTTTTTTGACTATATGTGTCGATGTATATGATTTAATGCAATTATTTCTTCTATAAAAATAATTATTTAATTTCCTAGTCCAAAAAATATTAGAAAGTGACCAAGGAACTTAGAAGTGACCAATGTACTTGGAATAAATGTCAATGTATAAAATTTTGTACGCTAAAACTTCAAATTATATATACAAGTATTTTAGCTTAAATTATTAGTTATCAATAGTATAATTTTTATATTAATCTTCAACCTTAACACATTTCATTGATTAGCAAAATCTTCTAGGCAGCTTTTTTTAATGATAGCTTGCTCTGTGTTTAGCTTTAAATTCGGCATAATGCTCAGGATTGCTCCAGATCTTTTTTCTCAGAGATTCTTATCTTTTCAAATGGATGATGACTAGGTAAAACAAAGAAATTCTTTTTAGTCAATAAGACAATAAACTACTATCATAGATACACATTTTTTTGCTTCCATTTTACAAGAAATGGCTTACCTTAAATAATAGGAATCAAATTTTGGAAGTGTGAGCTTGCTATATCACTACTATGTTGAAATGTACAAAGGTGTGATATCATATGGCATTTCAAGTCAATGTATCACTGTAATTTATAGATTAGGAAAAAATATATGTGTATACAGTGCAAATGGAATAATAATGTTTCAGAAGAATAAATAAATTAGGCTTCTTAATAATAAATTAAGCTCTAGATAACAATTAAATTGATTGTTTGTGTAATCAGTTAATTTTTATAATTTCTGTGTATCAAAGTGACTCACATATTTATTATTTTTTCCATCAAAAGTATAATTACATGAAGAAAACCCAAGGAGTGAATTTTAGGGATAATTTTGTGATTTTCTTTTGTTGATCAAATGTTCAAAATTTTTAAGTTGTCTCTGTAAACCCCTTTAAAACATAATACAGTTTTTTCCTTTTTAAATAAGTTCAATTTAGTTCATAATCGATTGAAAATGAAATCGTTTTCAGTGTATGCATCTCGTAAATGTGGGTATGAAAGTCAAAATAAAGTCTTAGAAGAGTGCAATAACTTGGTATAGGCTACTTTTGAGCTAATCGCAATTAATTATCTAATTTTTCTTTTATGTGTATCTTTGAGATACAAAACCAAAACTGATTTTCAGAGCAAAACAACATCTTGTATTTATGAAATAAAAATCTAATGAACATTTATGGTAACAAATATGCTTAGCCTTATTCAATTAATTAATCTAGAAAGATTTTTTAATTGAATTAATAATAAGGAAATCAGTTCTGTTAATGTTTTTTATTTTGATAAAGGCTTTGTATGTGTTGTTTAGATTAATGATATATAAAAAATGAGCTATAACAATAATGAATGACATAATGCCCGTGTTATTTTAAATTTTGATTGGAAATAACTTATTATTGATTTGTGACATAATAAATCATTTCTTTACATTGTGGCCAAGTTCCCGATGCATTTTAGTTGTAATAACTGTATAGGATCCGCTTAGTCCTGTCTTTCAAATCTGAAAAAGCGAAATCTAACGCAACAAAAGCTTCTGTGTGAGATGGTATGTTACAGTCAATTGTCTCTCTACTACTTTTTAAAGACATTTCATTTCAAGATATAAGATAACCTATCACTTGAACGCTATCAAAGAAAAAGATACAATAGCAAACAATATACAGCAATCAAATAAGTGCAGGATTACACCATTAAAGAAGGAAATAAATTTGTCAAACATACCATGTCTCATTATGTCATAAAAACAATTTTAAATTGACATTTAGAGTCAAGATGGACAAATCTGGACAGTCAGAAATCTGGATAATTGCTATTCAGATAATTGGGATTCTAATGTACTTTGTCACATTACCCTGACAATAGGTGATTTTGAAATAGTCAAATTATTATCTTAAAATAATATTTAATGCTTTATTTTCCATAACTAATCAATATAATAGCAATGAACATAATGCACAATGAAACATTAGCAGACTAGGGAACATTTGCATATATGACAATGAACAGTATGACAAATCTTTATAATGTAATGAGAAATACAACAATGATAAGAGTTAATGAGATCTAAGGTTATCATAAACGTTTACTATACCAGTGGCCTAATTATATAGATATAGCCATTTAACTTAAGTAATTGGCTTCTCTTTGGGGAAGACAACTGTACGTACGAATTATGTTTGCGAGCAACGTACTGTGACCGCAGGCGGAAACAACTGTAATAGGTCACTGTTTCCGTATACTAAACTCCGTATAATATGACGAATAATTTTGCGATGCAAATAGATTTTTAGTGGCATATGGCGTTATCAATACTTTAAGCGAAACAACGTTTCTCATATAATAATAATACTGAAAACTCGTTATGATTCAGTTATGGACTTACTTGTGCGTCAGTTGATAGATTCTCAGCACTAGCGCTCACAGACATATTTTTAGCACTGTAATTTTCTTTAGATGTAACTAAAATCAAAAACTCGGTACTAAGGGACACTCTTAAATTGATTTCATAGTTATTGTTTATTACTTTAATGGGCGTGTACCAAAAACCTAAACGTTGTAAACAGCAAAAACTAGAACGGAACAATCTGACTTCAACAAGACCTCTCCCTCCCTCTTTATAATTAACATACATGACAGCTGTCAGATGCACGCTTTTTTTAATACTAAAACGGCATTGGGTTCTTGCCCTCTTTGTTCTTGTTCTTTTCTTCAAAAACATTCACAGTTTTAAAACACAGTTAAAATTACAAAATTGATAAGTTAAGATACATAAGTTTGTATTATTATGTAGGTTTGAAGCATTTTGAATCAATGAGACGCGTAAGTAAGTAAAATATCACTGTCATTATCAAGTACACCATCTCTGTCACTATGTAATATTTTGATTCGATCAAAGTTATTTTGCGGTTATATCGATCGCTAATATCAGTCTATAAATTTAAAAATCTTGATGTGGATATTGATCGAAGTGTGGAAATTTCAAACACGTTAAATAAAGATTTTATGAATTTTATTTATAATAGAACATCAAAATAGAAGTGAAGAAAAAAAACAATAGGCATGGACAGCTAATCACAAAAATAAACATTGTGTCAAATAAATCAGAAGAGTACAATTGTTCTAAAAAAGTATTTTATACATGAGTAAAAACTCCTTGCCCTAACACATATCCACTTTATTCTTTCGCTGTATGAAATCAGTGTAAGTACATGAATAATTCTACCTAATACCGACCACTGCTCATCACGAAATCTCAGAAACTACAAGCGGGATCTTTATAGGACGTAGGTCCTCACTACGACGGGATTTTATTAAATTCAACCCTTAGGGGTTGAAATAAGGGTTAAAACTTTATATGGAAATTAGTCAGACACACACACTTTAAACTGTCAATATTGAAATTAGAAACATGAAATCTTATTTTCGAGCTAGTGATTAAAAATTCATAAATCAGTGATTGTTTAAATTCCTCTTTTAATAGGTTAAATAAGACATGAAGTTCAGTGAAGTAGTTTTGAGCTTTTCTGTGTTTGTCAACATGAAGAACACGAAGCAAATCTAAAACTTTGCTTTTTTATACCTACTGAAAATGAAACTTGATATCCTATTATTTTTATCAATTGCGAGGTACGTACTGGTGGTTTTAGTTATTTTAAGGTTTATTTTTCAACCGACAAGAATGTTGCTATGTGTGAAATAAAAGAAATTATTTAGATTAATAATAATAATATATGCTTTATTTTACACTACACAGCAAATTACAATTTACGTATAGTCTATTTTATTTACACTGCCACAAAATGTAAACAAATATGGCGACATGACAATTTTAGTAATGGGATATATTATTAAGAATTTTATTGTTGAACTATTTCATTTACTTCATTCGTGAAAATACTCAGAGTAGTATAAAATTATATGATAAAATTCGTGTTAGTTGATACTAAAAAAATCCGTGTATTAGTATGACAACTAGACAAATTTACTTAATTATATACTACACATTAATTTAAAATGAGGGTTCATGGGAAATAAATATTAAGCTAACTCCTGGTGAATTTTATGTTTTATTGTATTTTACTTCGTCGTTTGGTCTTACTTTACAAAATGCATCCCAAAGAACATAGAAAAAATATTTTGTAGAGTAGATTCCAAAACAAAATGGTGACATGGGGCATCACATAAGTAATCTACAATTGTAATTGTGTATTGTACAATTGTACTAGGTTTTTTTTTTTTATTGGATAAGGGTCAGACGAGCAGACGGATCACCTGATGGTAAGTGATTACCGTCGCCCATGGACACCTGCAACACCAGAGGGGCTACAAGCGCGCTGCCGGCCTTGGAGGGAAGGGTTGAGGGGTAGAGGGAAGGGAATAGGGAGGGGTTGGGCCTCCGGTACCCTCACTCACACGACGAAACACAAAGCAAGCGTTGCTTCACATCGGTTTTCTGTGAGGCCGTGGTATCTCTCCGGTCGAGCCGGCCCATTCATGCCGAAGCGTGGCTCTCCCACGAATAAATCTAAATATACAACTATATAATAATAATAATCTTTCTTTAAATATACAGATTTAAAGTTTTGATGAAAATACATATAAAATTTTAATCTTTGATTATTCAATAGGAAAGTTACATAAATATTGATAAGTTACTTAATAGGTTTCGTTGTGATGTAGTTTGCTAAATAAAATGACGTTGTGGAGCGTCACGTCATTTAAACAGCTAAGAAGTTTTATATTTTTTCTTGAAAATGAAAAAATATAGATTATTTAAGATTAATTGATAAATGTAACGACAAACATACAGCACAAGAAATAAACTGTTAAAAAGATGTTCGCTCAGAAAAATAAGAGGTAAATAAAAAGCTTAGCTTATTGATTACGAAATTGTCTTGTAAATAACTAATAGAAAAATCAGAATCTTTGAACGTTTTCAATTGAAAAATAAGCACTTTTGATATCACAAAGTACACGACCAGAGTCCATGAGGCTTTGCAGAAATCATCGATCCAATAAAAAACACTATTCAAATCGAGAAGCAAACAGTAATAGAAGTCCAAAACCAAGTCGTTGTAAGAATTAAACACAGTAACTAAAAAGCACCCGGGTACCACATTTGAATGAAAGGGAGAAACGAATGATAAGTTTAATACAGATATCATAGTACAATGCTATTATTATCGTACGGTTGACAAACCTGGTCCAGACTGAACGAACACACAGACAAGAAATGTGATTTGCCGTTTACTGCCGCATGCCCCACAAATTCATTCGCCTTCGCATCATTTGGAATAATTTCCGGTAAAAAATAAACGATTATTTGAACTGTCTACTTTAATCATATTTAAAACTCGAACGAATAATAAACTTGAACGAAATTGTAGAAAATATTACAGTGCAGTAGATTATTTAATCGGATGCTACAGCGCATGACGCAAATGTTGAAATTAAATTTTACATTATTATTTAATTCCACTTTTTTTTTCCTAGTTTCCTTATTTTATTCAGTATCATTTTTACGCCAAATATTTTTTCGTGAAAACTGTGATTTTACTGTTTATTTCTCTAATGTTTCTTTAAAAAGTTGTGTTAAAAGTGATAATTCAAGTTAACAAATGTTTTCGGTTACATTTCGTTGTTGGATCATTGTACAAACTTCATAAACAGTTTCGGTGAGTTCTTTGTTTACATTATTCGCCAGTTTAGAAGAAATGGACTGTAGTATTGTGCAGGAAATTAAAAACCTCTATTTGACCATAGATAGAAATTACTTATATAATAATCAGTGGACTTCCACATAAAATTTCAACCCTTCAAGAGAGGAATTTCCACAATCGCTAAAATTGATATTTAACCATTTTTATATGCAGTGTAAAAATTAAAAATAATGTTTCTAACAATGAGTTTAATAACTAGAGAAGCAATCTCATACAACAGACGCGCCAAAAAGCGTAGCACTTTTCCGAAATCAGGACGTAGCTTTGCAAATAATATTTATACTATATATTATATATAGATTTATTATATTTGTCTCCCTCAAAAGTCCTCTCGAACGGTAAAATGAACGGAAAAATGGGTAATTGATATTGTATTGCCAGCTGTCGAAAATTTCACCCATTGTGATGAATGAATGAATGAACGAGTAGTGTAGATATATGTATAAATTCAATTAGTAAAATACTGTAACTTTGAAAATTTCTTTGAAAAAAAAAAACAATCACGAAAGTAGGCTCTGTGCATATATATCCCTTTGTTTTTCGATAAAGTCAGTGGTTAAGACAAGACATTTGTCAAAGTTCATAAAACATCAAACAAAGGTTCAATTTTACGTATTTTCAAAAGTTGTATCTCGATAACTAACGAATTCCACGCATTGAAAAAATTAAATCACATTAGCATCTGTGTGTGTGTATAAAAAAATTATCAACACAAGTAGCGCAGTTGCCTATACTTAAGCTGAGCTATATAATTAATTATAAAAAGATATTTAGATAAATTATAGCCACGTTAAATAAAAAGAAAAGGCTCCCATATACTTGGGAAAATTGAAAGTGAATATCAGTGGCAACACTGACGACAAAATGTCGAAATTTTATTTGTGAAAATTAAATATTTTTATTTTATAACCTAGCTATAATTTTGTATTTATTGCCAAAAATGTTAATGATTTAAATGTGAAACTTAATATTCTTTCGTATTATGTGTATTTGTGAAAGAGAATCGTATTTTATCTTCTGTTTTTCTTTGTTTTTGCGGAGCATTTTTTTTGGACTTTCTTGGCGGGAGTTGAATGAGTAATGAAGTGAAGAACGAAAAAACTAAGACAAACGTCTTAGTTTTAGTAGCTTCAGATTTTTGGTATGTATTGCGTATCTAGACATATTAATATCATTGGTTTCTAACTTTTAAAAAATAGAACCGACTTCAAACTTTAAAAAAATGAAAAATAATACTTATCTCAAAAGCGACTCATTCGAGAAAATGCTATATATAATGCTATATATATCGATATAAATTAGCGATAGGGATTGAATATCGCTAATTTATATCGATATTTTTCAGAAAAAATATCGATATTTAGATATATCGATAGTTTTTGCCAAAGAGTAATGTAATATAAAAAGTGAAAGAGTAGCAACTCTACGGAAAATTATGCATGTATGGAAAGTGCTGCCAACTGGAGTTTGGTCAGTGAACTATTTTTGCCAACTATACTATAGGTACGGTCGGCCAAGAAAGTGGTCTACCAGTTTTGACAACATTTCCCGTGTCTTTAAAGCATCGCTAAAGGCGAATCTTAGAATTGCATACAAACAATAAAAGAGATGCACAATGCTGACGTGTTGTCGTAGAGCACAAATGTTATTTTGACCTTTGCAGCCTATGCATTAGATAATAATTTGCAACAACAAATAGTCTTCACAATATTTTATAAATTTAAAATTTAAGTAGGTCACTTCAAAGTGGAAACTATTTTGTTACGAAAACTCTTTTACTGAAAAAGAATATATCACTTGACAATTCATGTCAAAGATTTTCTCAGCATTTTCCGTAGGTATTTTCCTAATTAATTTACACTACAATGCCCCGAAATTTATCCATTAACGAAAGAGCACAAATAATCGCATT